AGTGGTTTGTCCTGTTCAAACCCCACACCTGTAGCTGTTAACCATCCTCTCTCTGTCCTTCCCAGGTTCTGGTAACGTTCTTCTACTCTCTACTTTTGCTGTGAGATCAGCTCTTTACCTTCTACATATAAGCGAGGGCATGCTGCGCTTAGCTTTCTGTGCCTGAGTTATTTCATTTAACATAATGGCTTGCGGTTTCATCTAGTTGCTGCAAATGGCAGCACTTCGTTTTTACGGCTGAGTAATAGTACATTATGTGTGTACACTACATTTTCTTCATCAGTTGATTCCATATCTTGGCTGCTGTGCAGAGTGCTTCAATATACATGAGACTGTAGATGCCTCCTTGACATACTGCTTTCCTTTCCTTTGTATATTTACCCAAGGGTGGGATTTCGGGATCACATGGTACTTCTGTTTCTAGTGTTTGGAGTAGCTCCATGACTGTTTTCCATTTAGCTGTGTTACTTTCCATTCGTAACATTTCTCCATATCCTCACTGGCATTTGTCATTGTTGTGTTTTTGACAGTAAACATTCTAATGGGGTGAGATGCTATCTTGTTGTTTCAAAATCCTGTTCCTGTCCTTTAGCGATGATGAGAATGCTCCATAGCAAGCTTTTGTAACTATAATCTTCTACTCCACTCTCAAGCTACATAGTCACTTTCTCACAGGATTACACACTACGCTTTAATTTTGTTTTAGAGTCACTTTGTACACTTTCCCAGAACACAGCATCTCGAAGCACATTGAAGTCGTAGTGAGTGTAGTCTTGCCCTGTGTGTTAGGTGATGACTTACAGATGAAGGTTGGCTGTGATTTGTATATGCCCATGAATTGTCTCCATGGCAAAGATGCAAGAGACAGCATTTCACTTTTATGTGTTTCATCGAACAGCTTCTAGTGACCGAAGAAAAAGCATGAAAGTTGTTAGGGAAAATATTCTCTATTACCAGGAGGTTGTTTCTTCAGAAGTCTGAGGCTGGTGTGTGCTCTGAGAGGAACACTTAATTGAACGTGTGCTGGAAAACTCCTCTCAGACAGGTGGAGTCTGCAAAGCCACATTTGCCTCAAACAAATAATCCACAAGTAGCTTCTTATAAGTTGCTCTGTTACATGCTTCATTGTGCCAATATGAAATAAATTATTTGTGAGACTTGCAGAACCAAATAAAGCAATGCAGACACACACCTGGGACTGGTGGTCAGTAGTTTGTGGAACCCACACAACCTCACTTAGATTCCCTCAGTGCCTGAAATCCTCCCACTATGAATGTGAGTGCTTTAAATGAAGACTTTGTGGTTTTGGCCTTACGAACTACAAACTGAACTCTGTTGGGTCACTTTTTAAATGATTTTACATGATGTTCTTTTTAAAGAGAGATGTATTTATCAATTATATTTTCATCTTAAAAGTCACTTGCGAGAGATTGAAAGCCCATTCCAGATACCGGATTTTGCCAGGGGATAGGTGTCTTAGTCCCTTTTTCATCACGGGCACACATGCTGGACACTCTCAAGTTAAAGACAGAGAGGTTCAGTTTTTCTTGCAGTCACAGTCCATAGTTGGCTGGCTCGCAGGGCAGGCATGGCATGGCTGAAGGGTCTGGTGGAGAAAAGCTGCTCATATCATACCTGCCAGGGAGCAGAGAGAGAGAGGGAGGACCAGGGGAGGGTTCTGCACCCTACCACATAATGTCCCCAGTGACCCACCTCTTCTGACCAGGCCTCCCACCTCCTAACATCATATTTAGCTGTAACATCCCCATGATCCAGTCAACCTCCAACAGCTCTGCCCCTGAGAGTCTTGGGGTCATTCTTGTTGGGGAGGGGAGGAAGGGGTGAAGGGAGGGCAGAGGTAAGGGGAAAAAAATGAGAATCAAGACTTGCCATGTAAAGGTACATGATCCCAACAATGAATGTAACTGTACTGTATCCCTAAATGTACCAATAAACTCAATAAAAAAAAAAAAATAGGTAAAATGGTGAAGCTAAAATACTTGCCTAAAAAGACAGACCTCAGGGACCCGACGTTATGCTGAGCATATAACGGTGCTGAGTGTCTTTCAGAGAGGGATATTGACAACAAAGATATAGGGAGGTAACTTTGAAGCCTGACCCATTCAGTTTTGTTTAGGTTCAAATAGGATGACAATATTGAAAAGTTCTTTTGACCTCAGGATCTTAATTTCTTTTCCTTTGTGATTCGTAGAAATAGATGCTTTGATTTTTGGTATTAAACCCTTGTGGATGGATTCTCCCCCTTTTCATTTTAATAGATTCCTTCAATTGTATAGCAGAACAGTTTGCTATACAGACTTGCTGCCAAGCAGACATAAATGTCTGACATGTACAGAACGGGTGTCCAGGTAAACTATCATGAATATGGAGAAAACACTCAGACTATCCACTCACAGCACTGAGCGTTTCTCCTGTGCTTTGGCAGGACTTTGAAAGTCAGTGGATTTTACCTTTGACCACAGCTCATTTGCCTTGATTTAAAGGCCCCGATGTCAGTTCTTTATGGGGTGTTTAGGTTTCCTATGAGTCTCTTAGGAATGGCAGGTTTCTTTACTCACTGTGTACCGTGTTGCTATAATGGGAGTTCCTCTGTTGCTGTTATTCCTTCCTAAGGGTACAGGTTTGGTCACATTTCCTTGCCCTACAGGGGCATTAGTTTGATGTCAGTTTTGAAAACACCCTTTCTTGATGTGTACATTTTTGCTTCTGGTGCAAAGTCACATCACTGTTCCTTACTCACCATCTATGTGAAGGGACTCTTCACCTTTCTAAGTTACTTTTGAGCATGTACCATGCTCCTCCTCACCACCATAGAATAACGAAGATGAGCTTTGCCTACCAGGCAGAAAGTCAGCCATCTTTAGAGCTTCATGCATTTCCCTAATTGGCAGCACTTGTCTCAAGATAGAGGATTTAAATTTAGTTTCCTTTGCTATTAGCTGTGATTCATTGGTCACTAAAGTTCACGATAGCAATTCCCCTCACTGAGGATTTACCCATATTTTATAGCATGTCATTAAAAGAAATACTTGAGTGTCCAGTGACTAGGACCTCACTGAAATTGAAGGGAAGGGAATTTCTTCAGATGTACTAGAAATGCTCTAGAAAATACTCTCATTTGAATTTAAGTGAGTGTTTCTTTATCTAGTACTGGTAACTATTTCAGAGCTGAGACAGTTAAATAGATACTTCATGTCTTGGTCTAATCGGATGACTATAAAAAAAAATACCATAAAATGGGATGGTCCATAGACAAAAGAAACATTTCTAACAGTAATAGAGGCTGAGAAAATCAAGGCACCATCAATTTTGGTGTCTGGGAAAGACCCACTTCCTTGAAGAGGGTATCTTCTGCCTGTCCCCCTGTGGTACAAGGGGAAAGAGAGCTTACTGCACTTTCAAGGAAGCAGTAATGACATTCAAGGGGTGTTCAGTCCTACGACTTAATCATCCCTCAAGGCCCCACCCTAGAACCTTCACCTTGGGGATTAGGATTTTAACATATGAATTGCGAGGAACACAAATATTTACACCATAGCACTCTGTTGCTAAGCTTCATAATTTTCACATATATACATACACACAATTTACAATCAAAGAGAAAAAGCTCCTAGAATGTACCAATAAATTAAATTTTTAAAAAAAGAGAGAAAAAGCTACTTCATTATTGTTTGGCAAAAGGCTAAACACACTAAGAAAGATTTTGAGCTGAAAATAAACCCGTTTCCAATGTTTACTGAATCCCCACATGGATTATAGTCCTGTAGCAGGAAAAGTCTCCAAGAAAAAGCATTAAAGAAGACAGGCACATTCACCACTCCCACAGAACCGAGTTCTTGAAACTTGATCCAGACAATACACTGTGTTCTTCCAAATCTGACTACTTACTGAAGTGTCTTATATTCTCCACTCAGTAGAAGCAAGTTCTCCATGATGAGAGGGTCAATTTGTGTTTTAATGTTTGGAATTATGTGATCTATCTTGTAGTCAACTGCCTCTGAAAGTAGTCCAGGCCTGTTTCATTACATGGAAGTGAAATACACTGAAATGCATCATTATTTTATTGAAGATAAATCAGGAAATAGAGTCAGTGTACATCGCCTGAGGTCTGACATTTCAGGCCCCTTAGCCATGTGTTTCAGTAAATGTATTTTCTTGTTCATTTACTGCTGCATTTTGAATCATTGCCTCTGCCCATGTGGCTGCTGATGCCTCTCCCTTCAGCCTGGATGAGCCCGTTTCTTTCCCAGGGCAAGACTGTCTATAAAATAATGGAAAACCTTGACCTGACTTGCACCAAGCACTTGCTTATTATCACAGTGTATAGAACTCAGAAGAAGGACTAATGAAGAGTCCAGTATAGTCTCCTTTTTAATTCAAATGTATCACTTTATTAAAATACAAAGAAAAACATAGTACCTCTCAGTATTTTAGAGAGGTTTTTCTGTCTACTTTGATAGTCTCAAAATCTATACGAGTCCAGCTTGGATTTATTCGTATGTGATTTTATACTTTGTGTGATTTCACCTATTACCAACTTCACAACGAAAATGTAAGTTAAACATCGCACGGCTTATCTACTCGGAGACCCAAAAGATACACAAATTAGAGAGCAAAATGAAAGAATCATGTTAAGAAACAGGGAGACGGACTCTGTGGAGATGGGAAGGGGATCAGGGAGTGGAGGAGAGGGGAGAGAGGTGTAAAAACCATCAGGATGTGATATGTGCATGGATCAACAAGCCCAAACTGAATGTACTCACTGTATGTGGTAGTCGTATATTAAGTTTTTTAAAAAATGTAAATATATGCCCTTGGTTTGGCTATAGAGATATCCACGTTAAAGGTACATTTTAGTGATTTCACAGGTTGGGCAGTAATTATTAAAACGTCATGGGGCGACCCCAGGAATCCCCAGGAGTCGTCCTTCCGCTGGGGCCTCTTTGAAATAATGTGGGTGGTTCTCTGCGTCCCCTCAGGAGGTGGAGCTGTGTCGGCTTAACAGTCAGGAGAAGTTGGGCCTCACAGTCTGCTACCGGACAGATGATGAGGAAGACACTGGCATTTATGTCAGCGAGGTAAGAAATGCCGAGGAGGGGAGGGGAGGGGAGCGGAGGGCGACGGGAGGAATGATGAGAAAGGGCGAGCAGGGAGGAAAGTCTTCCACCAGAAGCTCCGCTGGAATGTAAGACTCGGCTGTGTTCCCGAGTGCGTCACTTTCAATCCGGAAAGTAAACTGCCCTGCCCAAGTAACATAATGATTATCAGCTTGGTTAACAGGGATGCTTTCCCCACAGAGTCCCAGCCGGGAAACGGAGAGGTGACATTGTCTCCACTTGAATGGCCCTCCCCAGGGTGCAGGAAGTTGAACAAAGTTCTGCTGTGCAAACATTTGTCCTCCCAGTACACCCTTCATTGTTCTGGAAAGGGTAGCACTGGCTAATTATTTTAAGGTAATACTCACCGTTATCCCATCTTCTCTGATGGTGATGCATTTAAATACTCAAGAAGTACACCTGTGAGTTTGTTTTTTGTTTGACCCCACAATCATTTTCAAGAAGATCTAAACGGGGTCCAGGGATTTGGCTCAGTGGTTCTGCCCTGGAATTCGATCCCTGACACCAAAAAAATAAAAAAATTTTTAAAAAGAGCTAAATATGACACCATTAATGTCAGTTTTAAAGCCTGTCAAAGAAAATTTATTATCATAGATGATTTTTTTAAAACTTCCAAAAAGGTCCTTTTAGAAGTAGAAAAGTAGGCTTTTAAAAATTACTATGATTAGAAATGACACACATACAAGGAGTCTAACTCCTGTAAATAGAGGGGTAGGCAAGCTGGATACTAATTCCTGTTCCAAGTTTTCGTGGCCTTGATGTTAAACATTACCGGACATTCTAAGGTTCGCCTTCCTCAACAAGTTAGGGCAACGTCATTTATGCAATTGCTTTTATGCAGTTGTTTGGAATATGGAAGAGACTGTGTAATTATTCACTTAGATAACTACACTGATCCACAAATGTAAAATACTATTCTATGTCACTTTACCAAAGAATTTGCCAACTGGCTCCTACAAAGGAAAACTCTCCAGAGAAGAGATTTAGACCTTGCTTTAAAAGTACAAGTTTGACAATCCCTCTAAGAGGAAATACCTACTGAATTCTTTTGTAATATGTAAAAGGTAGAAAGGTGGAAGTTTAGTATCAGTTTGATTACAGTGCAGAGGACAGAGTTTTAGGTTGTAAAGACCTTTTAATGGGATACAATTGATTTATCACCCCTCACTTCCTTCACTATTTGTTAGATTTGAAACTTTACTATTCAAGGAAGATAAGCCACAGGAACTGCGCATTTGTACTTGGAATGAATATTGTCCTTATTTCCCTTATATATAATTATAGTGTCTTTTGTGCTTGATTTACCACCTAAGACTCAGCTGTTAGGGGGCACCCCTAATGAGAAAGTGATATCCAATATCAGGGTAGGATAAATCAACTTATGCCACACTTGAAATACTTTGCTTGGGAAAAAGCTTTCATGCCTAAATGAATGGTTTGAAGCCACTACTTTTAGCCTGACATTTCAAATTAGCCCCAGTTAACTGCCCATTAAAATGTTGCTAAGCCCTTTAATAAATATGTATTAATTCTAAAATAATGTATAGTTAATACACTTCACCATGTATATAACTTAGTAATAAAACGTATATATAAGAGTTTTTGTTTCTTGAGTAATAATATGCACACAAAACAGAAATTCCCTTAAGAAATATGGACTTAGAGTATAGCTATCAGCTATTCTAATATTGCTAGAGCAGAATTTTAACATCACCTTAGTAGTAGAAAGTAAAATTTCTGGGACCACAGAATGTTACTACTAACATTATGCCCTGTCTAAAGACCATATCTGATAAATGAGATTCAGAAATGTGTGAGCAAATGAGCAAAAAGGGAGGAAAGAAAAACTACAAATGTATCCCTTCTAAGAAAGGAGGGAGGGATGGAAAAAATCAAGTTCTGCCCTAGTCCACCTTAATTTTATTAACTCCAAAATACAAAATAGTCCAATAGATAGATAGAGATATAGATATAGATAGATATAGATAGATAGATAGATAGATAGATAGATAGATATATAAAATGTATACAATATAATGACACTCATGGTTGGAAATTTGTACCTTTACATAATCTGTTATTTTCCCCCTCCTCTTCCCTCCTTTCAACCCCTCCCTCCCACTCTACAGACTTTGTTTCCATTATTTTTCATTTCCTAATATTGATTCCATTCCCTTCTTTCCTTTCTGCTACTCCTGTTTCCCTTTCCTCTTTATCCTTTTTCTTCCAATTTCCCATTATCCATTATACCTTTTAGTACTCATTTATACTTTGTTTCTCATGCTAGAGAAACTATTCAGTATTTACATATGTGTGTCCTATTTATTATCACTTAAGAGTGTCACTGCAATGTGAATCCATTTAGCTATAAATGTCTCTAATTTATAGAGATATATATAATTATTTTTATGGCTGAGTAGTATTCCTTTTTAAACACACACACACACACACACACACACACACACACACATTTTCTTCATCCAGTCTCCAGTTGATGGACAACTAGGCTGCTTCCAACTTTTAACTTTTAGAAGCTGTGCTGCTATGAACATGGGTGCACATATCTTACCATGGTATGATTCTTTTAATTCTTTAGGAAAGCTGGGGAATAGCTGCATCAAATGGATTTCTGAGAGAGAAAATGAATCATATACTGTCATAGATCAATAGGAACTTTTGTACTAGGTTTTTAAATATATATTTTAAATATATATTCTCTTCTCGAGATGATCTTGCATAGCCAGCTGATGATATGTGTTCTCTCCATTACAGGTGGACCCAAAGAGCATTGCTGCCAAAGATGGCCGGATTCGAGAAGGGGATCGTATTCTGCAAGTATGTGTGTTATTTCCGTTAATGTCTCACTCTCTGCCCAACAGTTTTTGTTTTGGCTTCTTGCAAAATATTAGAAAAAAGAATTTGTCTTTGCTTTTAGACGTTAGTACCTACAAAACAGAAAAACTATCATTTAATGTTTAAGTAAGTATATGTTGTAGTCAGCAGGATTGGGCCAGGGAATACATTAAAGGACATATAATTTATATTATTTTATGATAATTACCGAAAGAGTCAAATGCAAAGGAGTGCAAGAGATTACCCACACACTAGAAGCCCAAAGGATTCAGCTAAGGGCCTAGAATCCAGCAGTTTCCCAGGAAAACCATCCACAGCAAGCTTCTCCTGGAGAATCAAGAGGCCAAGATCTTCCTCCCCAATTCTCTTTTTATGGCTGTTGGTAACGATCTTCAGGTGGGTCCTCCATGCCCAGACCACAATGATTCAGTTCAGTTGGGCGATACTAGTTGCCCATTAGTCAGTCCACCACAGGATGGTACCCTTTCTTAACAGTGATTAGCTAATAATTAGTGGTTCAAATATAGTCACTGGCATGAGATTTCTTGACTTCAGCTTCCAGCTCCACCATTGCCTTGGGGGCATCACCTCACCTCCTTTCATTTTAAGCCCATTTGATCATCTCTTAAAATTGAAATAATAATACAACCTATTCTTGTTGTGAAGGTTGCAGGAGATTATGCATGTAATGTGCTTAGCACAGTACATGATAAGTGCTTAATAAACATTAATGGCTATTACTTCTAGCAGCAACTGCTGGCTTTCCAGAATAAATTAGGGGAACATGGGTTCAGATATTCCTTTACAATCTGAAAGCCCAGAAGTCTGTAGAAGCTTCAGCTATTTACAAATGAGTTTCTGGGTCCAAGTGGAGAAAAATGTGATTTCTTCACCATACGGAAAGAAGAAAGAGAGAATGATTAAATTCTAGTGTAAAGAAACAGTGAGCAAATACAGAGATACAAAGTTGGGAAGGCAGTTAGCCAAAACTTCTGTTGTAAACCTGTCTCAGCCCACTCCATCCCTTCCTAGTCCTTCCATGAAGATTGCTGCAAGAAGATAGCACTTGTTTTCAGGCAACCCCAAGCCAAAAACAGAAGCACTTCTGGGCTGAGTTCACTGCTGATCACCAGTGTCAAAATGAGAGAGAAAGAGAGAGGCTTGAATGGTAAATTAAGGAACTACAGACTGTTAAAACATGTGGCAAAACTTCTAGTTTAGATGAAGTTCCCAGTTCTCATTGCTAGATGTGGAACCCCAGAGAGTGTTTAAGGATTTCAAAAATAGACAAGACAGCTGGGCATGGTGGTGCACACCTGTAACCCCAGCACTCAGGAGGCTGAGGCAGGAGGAGCACTGTGAGTTGGAGACCAGCCTGGGCTCCATAGTGAGTTCCAGGTCAGTCTCAACTACATAGAGAGACCCTGTCTCAAAAAAAAAAAAAAAAAAAAAAAAAAAAAAAAAAAAAAGCAAAGAAAAGAAATAGACAAGACACCTTGCAGCCTTGGGCACAACTTCTCTCTGTGAAATTGGAAATATGGCAGCATGCACTGACGATCACAGTACAGGGTGATTGTGTCCTAACAGAGGTGTGCCTGCAGTGCCAGGGTCACACTCCCTACCCAGTCTTCTCTTCTCTCCCTTCTTCTGGGTGGCAGTCACTGAATTCTGCCACTTCCTTGTCCCCAGTCCCTTCCCTAGCCAGATGCCACAGAACTCCTTTGACATACAAATCTTATTGGAAAATAATAAATATGAATTATTGACCACTGGGAGTCCTGCTAGTTTTCCTAAAATCTTAAGAGTGTATAATTTCTAGTTCAGTAAGCTCTGTAAGCAGTCACATGTAGTTAAACAAAATAGAATTGTGTTTGAAGAATATTAGAGAAATAAATAATAGATTGGGAAACCAAGACATAGTCTTATTTTCTACTGCAGTTCAGTATCTTTCACACATCCACAGGAATAATGCAGTGAATGAAACAAAGGTACCCAGTGGAAAGGATGATAGGAAAGACAACATGTATGTGGCCTTGTTAAGAAATTAAGGGTCCCATTCTGCTATCTTTAGGATGGTGAAGGTTTCAGAAAGATTTTTTGGGGGGAAATGTTTTAATATATTTTACTTTGTTACCATGTCCAGTTCATTAGACCAAAATCAATGCAAGCTTCTGGTGCTTAAGGTTGTAGCATATCCAGAAATCATTACGCAGTGCTAAATTGGAGTAAAATGCACAGTGACCAGAAGGTCTGGGGGATTCGGTGACCTAACATTAAGTGACTCTCGATGGCTACCTTTTTGGATTTATGGAGTTTGTGTTATCATTTTTCTTGCTTTTTTTTTTTTTTTTGCAGTTATTAGCTGCCACTACTTCCTCTCACCATGTAATCTCCACACCCTGCATCTCCTTTTGTACCTTCAGCCAACTTCCCTCCTAACCTCCAGCTAACCACACTCATAGGCTGGATGTGCAAATACAGCCTCTATTGGTTCGGTGGGTACCATTGACTAGACATGAAATGCATGTGCTTTCACCCGTGATGCTGTATGTTTTGATACTTCTAAGCTCTTAGCTATATTGTGCACAGATAAGTTTCTGAAGCAAAAAATATGTCAGGTAATAAACTATTCCTCAGTGGAGGCGATTTACTGAAGAAATGATAGCAGGACTGATAAAGTGCTGTTTGCAACTTGATTACTTCATATTCCGTGACAGATATCACACCTAATACATGACAAAGCCTAGAATTCAATTCTGCCTACACACATAGAAAACATAGTGTCTTAAGGGTGATAGTGAAATTGTATTAAATAAAACTTTGACAAAATTGTACCCACAGACAAATAGCTCCCATATGGCTGGTGAGGATATTATGGGATACCCAGCCATGAACAATTCATGACTCCTTCTGCAGAAAGGAAAGAAAGTGGAAGAAACGGGCCTTACTTCTTATCCTCCAGGTTTCCTGGCTGGCTTTTATTTAAATGTATCTCTGAACAGCAACTGTGATTTTAATTTTCTGTTCACGATGATCTCAGTAGCGTATGTTTATGTTCCTGCTCTCATTGTGTAGCTAAATTTTTCTTCATGCAGCACACCATGGACATCCAATAACAACGCATGCACACACAATTCATAGGAAACTGACCCAGGGTAGGGTCGGGCAGAAGGGAGACCGAACATGAAGTAATGTCATAAAAACATGGCTGGTGCTCATGTTTGTTCTCTGCAAATGCTGGATGGTTCTTTCTTCTGTGCATCTGCCTGGGACTTGTATCAGATTTGCCCCTAAGAACTATCTAAGAAAACCCTCTCACACAAAATGGCAGGCACAAAGGAGGCATTTCTGAGCCACATAACAAAGGCTGAATTCCACATAAATATCAACTTCCCCAGAAAGAAAACACTATCTCATGCTTGCCAGAAAGTGTTAGTCGTGTTCCTAAGGATGACTTCCTAACAAAACTCTTCCAGAACTAAGATAATAGCGGAATAAAACTTCTAATAAACTCTCTTCTTTTTCTACCCTACATATAAACGACTCCTTAGAATTCCTTTCTACTTTTTAAATTGTTTTCCTTTTCAATAGCTATTTTCCACTGTTTGTTTTTTCCACATCTCTATATTTCACATACCTTATTTCTCTAATATAAATACACTGAAGTAAATCTCTCTTCTTAGATTTTTGGGTTTTCCTAAAAGATTTCACAGCTAGTTTAATGCCAAGAATTTTAATTGCCCACCTGCCTCTGGTACAATATAGGAAACCTAAAAATTGTCATGCACAACCAGAAAAACTATCTTAAACAATTCTAGCCCCTCTCCATCTTCCTCCCTCCCTCTCTCTCTTGTTCCCTCCCCATAGATCTAAGACAAAGACAATATTTATTTTGAAACTATTTCATTATAATTATGCACAGAAATAAGAGATGTATATTATATACGAGGATTTCCTTCATTTTTAACAGGAGTAACATATTGTCCTATTGTCTCTCTCTTGGCTCGTTTCCCCCTCTCCCTTTTCCTAAAATAGGATTCTTTCAGTATGTTGTGGTGACTTGTCATCTGTCTCCTTCCCTTTCTGTGTTCTTCCTCTCTGTCTGCTTGTGTTTTCAGGAACAGCCAGCTGCTTTCCAAAAGCAGTCCTGTAACCATAAACCATGGTTTCAGAAATAAGGGCTACTGAAAGTTGAAAGCTCTATCTGATTCCATTCTTCAACTTTTTTTTTTTTTTAATTTTGAGAGACATCTTTGCTAAAACACATCTTGCCTTAGTATCAGTTTGGGTATCAAACTAAAGTCCTGAGTACAGTGGATTCTACAGACCAGTTCGCTAAAACTGCCCTTATATTGAAAAAGAAAACAATAAAGTACATTTCAGTGCCAGGTTCCTGTGGCAAATTCATTTTGTTCCACGTGGGATACTAAATGTAAAAATGTTCTTGCAACAAATGGCTTGTCCCCCAAAACAAGGACAGCTTGGCAGAACAGAAGACCATAGCTTTGGTCACTGAGTTGACAGATGAGGAAGATGAATACCAACTGGAAAGGCACTGAAAAGCAAACAGCCAAATTAGTTTTTGATGGCCTTGTAAGAGTTTAAAATACATAAAAGGTTAAACAGCTTTGTAAATAGACCCATGGATTACTGCAATGGATTTAATTGTGGTTTATCAATTGTATTGCATGTGCTTTATTTAGCAGGGAAGAGTCTTTTCCTACTGAGGATTAAAATGTAAATGGCGATAGCTGTAATACAGTAATGTTGACAATAATTTGTGCCAACGTTGAGAACTTTATCAGGCACTTACTGAGCCCTTTCAGTCAACCCTTTGAGACGGTACAGTTCATTTAGAGATAAGGAATATAGTAGCAACATTAAAGCCATATAAATGATGAGTGTTTAGGTTAATAGCAAGTGAAATCTAAATGAAAAAGGAGGAAGCATGTATATATTTGAGAGGAGACTAGAGAAAAAGGTAGGTAGTGAGAATTCTAAGGGGAAAATAAGCAAGGTGACATCACCCAGCTCAACTCACTTAGTACCAAATGTACCCTGGGTGGAGGAAAGATGAAATGATTAGGTCATGTATCTACAGTGTATCTGTTTGTTTGTGATATACTACTCAAATTACTGTGACATGGACATAAGCCTTCAGTGTTCAAAGAAAGTAAAATGTATGCATTATTTTAAAAATATTTTAATAGTAGGTAGAGTAATATACTAGAATCCATCACAGCCAGAATTTATCTTTGAGGGAAAAAAAGTCCTTGGTGTCAGCACTTGTCTTTTCAAGTACGTGGATACATTCACGAAACAACGTATCTTTCCCCATCATTATTGCTCCTATGGATCTTCCTTTTGATCACTTAAGCGTTGAGAGTGGGCCACTGGGTCAGACTCACAAGTCCGAAGTGATTGAATAAGGATGCAATCAGCACGGGATGGGCGCACTGTAGAGAGAAGAGGGGGGCGAGAGGGCAAAAAGAGAGAGGGAGGGAACCGCCACTGTCTAATTGGCTCGCAGGGTGCACGCAGGATGACGGATTCCAGATATGGTGTTGCCGGTCCTGCTCCTCCCAGCGCTATTATCTCAGAGTGACACCTCCATTACTCTGCGCCGAGAAAGATGGACGTCAGCTGTCAGCCGCTGGTTAATTGTGTCGCTAGATGTATGTTGCCAGGGCGCAGGTTGGACATTTATGAACATAACTGCTTCCTCTGATGTCCGCCATCCTTCAGGGATCGATAGTGCTCTTACAGTAAGCGCCTAATTGAGTGGAGGCACTTTCCATGGAGGGGCCGAAGATGGGCCCATTGTGTGAGCCTCGCTGTCCATACATTTACCATAAATGAGCTGGTATTTGCCATTTATTGTGTGCAGCACTGTGGAAATGGAAACTAATGTGCCACTTTCATTTGTTTTCCAGATAAATGGGGAAGACGTCCAGAATCGAGAAGAGGCCGTGGCGTTGCTGTCGAGCGATGAGTGTAAGAGAATCGTGCTGCTTGTTGCAAGGCCAGAGATTCAGGTCAGAACAGAGACCCACGCTCCTGAGGCTCTACTCCCTCCAGTGTGTGAATGCATTTATATTCACTACCTGCTGTTCTATAGCCACTCATTGTCATGGATACGTGCAGAACCAAGCACTGCACACGGACCACAACACACAGCCTTCCTAACTCGCTAACCTCACCACCAAAAGTACTGTATGTTAAAAAGCCCCTTATAGTACCCCAAAGAATGGCAGCTAAATTTCCCATTGAGGAAAAATTTTAAAGCACACAAAATCAAATCATAATTCTCTCCTTCCACTTGCCAATTATTTAAATGAATTCACAAATGAAAAATGGTTGACTTTACATGCTTCTGGATTCTGTGTGGATCCTCGCTTTAGGTGCCTATCTAAAAATACTTAATTGGCATATTAAGGTACCTTTAAAGAATCTCTAATGAGAAAAACATTAGCATACCCAGCTATCATCTTAAATCTTTTTGGAATAACTGCATCAAATAAAAGTTATATAGCACAGTGTGGCTCCACATAAGGTAAATGAGTTTTCCAAATTTAGTGTGACAAACGTTTGTCCAGCCAAAAAATTGATGCTTCTCAATGAATTTTTGGTATCTTTACAGAGGAAGATGTCATAAAAAGTAAAGGAGAGGTAATGGTGGAAGAAAAGTACTATTGGCCCTTCCTTTTATATCCTTTTTATATCCTACCACCATGCAGAATGGACAATATGTTGTCACCCTTCTGTCCATCTGTCAGTAGTTTGAGTGAAGTTAGTTATTTTGCCATTTGTCTCCTAGGTTATTGATCTGATATTTTTCAGACCCAGTAACTACATACACTCTATAAATTACATTGTGTAAGTGTATTTCAGTGTCAGATGGAATCCTGACTTGAATATAGTGGTTATAAAAGATCCCCCTTTCCGCATATACTTCCTTTATGTCCTTGACCATTCTAAATGGTTCTCATAAAGTCTGCCATAGCCTGGAGCAGAGTAAAGTCACACACCTGAGGTCTTGGGAATAGGGAAATGACCCATACAATGGGCTGGATTGGCTACATGGACATTAACTTTTAAAACACATATGAAATTATACCAATTATCTGAAAATTCTCAGTTATCCCACTGATCTTAGTTTCTCAACAGAATAAAGGACTAGATACAATTCATGAAATTCCTGGTAAAGTGAAATGGACTCAGTAGCCATCCCTGTTGTAGAAAAAATATCTTTATGTTAATGTAAATCTACATATCTTTATGTATAATACCCTTTCCAGGTGACTGCTAGAGAAACTCAATAATTTAGAACTAAGGCATCATATAAGATCTGTAATGGGCAAAGGAAAGAAGAGAAATTAATGGCATAAGACCACATCCTGTTAATCTTTGATGGAATACTTATGCTTGGCAGAACCAGCAGCCTCTCTCAGTATCTGGCTATGTTCCTGAGCTTTTCCCCCAAAAGAGTCAATGTTGAAGGGTGCGGCTCCAAATGAGACTTGCTTTGCACAGTTGATAAAAGATGGTTGTTTGACTCCGTGGGCTGCCATCCTGCCTGTCAAAATCGGGATCTGCATTAGCCCCTTGATCCTGAAGAAGCCTTCATGCCCCTGGAAGGATGCTAATTGCCTGCTGAAACTGAGCTCCTCAGAGGAATCAGCAAAGAAAATGCATCTTGACACCACACTTTAAAAATATAATTTAAGAAGTATGTGCTGGAAAGCTGCCCCCCCAAAAAATATTTTTTTAAAATTGGCTTTACATCTTTTTCATAAAATTCCATATGTCTCCTTGCATTTTTTTATATGTATAGTTTATTCAGGGACAATGTAGAAGCCTTTTGTGTGCTTTTCCTAGCATGTTTTTAAAATGTCTCAAATAGTCTAGATTATTGGAAATGATCTACAGAGTTGCTGGGGGCAGTACTGTGCATCTGTGCAATATTTTTAAATAACTCATTTCCTTCGTTCCCTGTCACCTTTCTTTCATTTCCTGCTCATTTTCTTCCTCAGACCATTAAAGATATTGCTTTTCTGTGCTATTCCCCTTAGGACATTGGGGCACAGAGGGCTCTCACTGGTACTTGTAAGCACTACTTTTGAGACTGTACATTGTTCTCTCTGTGCAATGCCACACGTGGTCTGCTTTGGTGGAGACAGATCCCTATGGTATTATGACAACAGTTCTTCTTTTCCTGCAGCTCATTTCAAGGGGGATTCCTGTCTCTACTGCAGGATTAGACTCAGAATGCTGTGAATGAATGTCTAGGTAGAAAGGGGAAATGCAACAGGGAAAGTAAGCGAGTAAAAAGAATCTCCCCTTATTTATTGTACTGAGTGTACTCAGCCAACAGGGAGGCTTATCAAAGCACCCATGTACTGACAAGAGGGCAACTCAGGGATATGTGGGGTTAGTCAATAAGAAAAGAGTTAGGGGATCATTAATTTCTACTTGGCTCTATCTTTCCCACCACTTCATTGTGTCAATATTAGGAACCATTTTTTACCTAATTGAAGGAAGACTCCTTGATATGTTTACAGAAAGCAAACATTCTTAGCTTTAAGAACTTTCTCTTGGAGCCTTAGGACACTTGAAAGGAATTAAAGACTATAAAATTAGAACAATTATAAATTGGCTTGAACTTCCATTTTTAGTCAGGATAATAATCATCATATCGTCTCTGCATATTAAAGTGTGTGGGATGGAATTGGGTCAAGTTATTCAGGCTGCATTAAGATAAATGAAGTTGAATAGATGTGTCCATATGTCTGGCCTTAGTTAGATCTGAGGTAATTGAAGTTCTACATGGCCTTAATAGACATCACGAAATCTATGATTTGCCTTCATATTAATGAATGTGATACATGTATGCCAGTGTCTCTTGCTGTAACTTTGTGTCTTTTTTCATGTTTGTTTTTGCTTTAAAGTTTTAGAAATTCAGTTATCTTTAAAAGCTCATTTTCCAGTTTTTTTCATCAAAACATCTCTCCATTTTTTCCAGTAATAGAAAGCATTTGTTTCTTTGTAACAGTAAAGCAGAGTTTTGACAATAATCCAGCCCATTTAATGAGCCTAGACAGCTAATTTATGTAATCCAGCTCCAAAAATTCACTTTTCGATATATTATCTGGATTGACTGTCAACACCAATCATATTAGCAAGGTAATCACCAGGCTTTCACTTTCCTTTGTATGGAGAAGCCAAAGGGATTTGTTCAGTTTCCTCTGTGTAAGAGTCTTGGGAGAATACTTGCATCCAGTATCCACAAACAAAACCCTGCCTCGTCTGCACCCCTCTGCCACCCTTAAATGCTACAGTGGCTAAGGTCTTTTGACTTGTAATTATGCCTGAAAAATGAATCAAAATAGACATGATGGGAACTGGGGGTGTAGCTCAGTGATAGAACATATCCCTAGAGTGCGTGCAGCCCTGTGGTCAATCTCTAGCACAATAGACTGACAGACAGGCATGATATTGCATTGCTTTGTTTCCCCCTTGAGAAGAATTTAAAATTTTGCTTTTTTTTTTTTTAATAGACAAGTGCTGTCTGTTGATTCTTTCATGGTGTTAACTTGGAAGCCTACCTACATAAAAATTAAACAAACTGGATGAGGGTAACTTCAGCTTGTAGAGGATACTTTGTGAATAGTCTCATTAGAGACTGTTGTTAAAAGGAAAAAAGCCCAATGGTCTCATAGCCCCATTAGTCGCACTGAAGTTCTTTTAACACAGGAACTGTGGGAGGTAATGAGCATGACAGCTGCGGATTATGCAGTGTGCTTTTCATTCATTTTGAAAGAAGGTAATGTTCTATGCTGTGAGATTTACTCAGCAATGAGGGACAATCTGTAGCTCTGTTTCAGGAAAGGATAAAAGGCCTAAGAGTCCAATTTTTTTGTCTCACCTTTCCTTCTCTCTGAGAGGTGAACTGTAGGAGGCTGATATTCTGAACAGAATCAATATGATAAAAGGAACTGGTCAGGCATCGCCATTTAAGTTTACCCTATTTTAGCATGAGTTCTCACTAACATAATATAATGTACTAATGTATTCTTTTGCAGCTGGATGAAGGCTGGCTGGAAGATGAAAGGAATGAATTCTTAGAGGAGTTAAACTTGGAGATGTTGCAAGAACAGCATAATGAGGCGATACAGAACACTGCCAATGAGGTGACACAGGTAAGGCCAACAATTTGAACCACATCCTGCGAAATGTTACTGGTTCTTTTCTTTATGCAAAACTGTAAATGGAGAGAAAACACAATCAAAGGGTTTGATCAAACATCTCTATAATATAACGGTAATTTTTTTCTACTAAATATTTCCAGTTTGGGATGCTTGGAGAGCCTGAATATAGTACAATAGTATTCAAAGATTGAACAGGTAGTGTTTCAACCTAATTGTAAAGATTGGATAGTAGAAATGCATCTCTCTTCTTAATATGCTAGCTGGAGCCATAACCCCTCAAAAATATTTTTTTAACTTTAAAAGATAAATGTACCTATTTGCATATTCAGGATATAACCACAGAATGATGACTTGATAGTCTTGCGTTCTCCATGGCATTTTACCCCTGAAACAATCATACAGAGTATCTTTGGTCCAAAAGCTATTGACACATGACATTATTGCTATTTTACCTGAAGTCACTTATTCACTCAGTAAAAATCTTGAGATACTAATGTAGTCCAGGAACCACACTTGATACTGAAACAAAAAAAAAAAAAAAAATAATGGTAGAGTTCCTGCCCGTAATTGCTTCATAACTAGTAGTAAAAGATCACAGTGTGGCCTTAGTAAAGTGAATCTTAGGACTTATTATTTTTTGTTGTTATTTTCTCACTGTGTGAAAACAAGACCACTATAACAGGTTTTTTAATGTCTAATTCATGTCATTCATCTGTTCAATATAATTTTGTTAACACTTCACTGTCAGCTTACTGATTTGTTCAATTATCATCTAATTCTCAACATTAATTCTTAGTGCATCTCACAAGATGATTTTTTTAAAAAGGCCTGACAGGTTGAGCCACGTTAATAATAAACATTGTATCACTTATCCAAGCCGAATAGTGAAACATATTTACATGCTAACATTGCATAACAAAAATGTGTGCACATCCAGCCATATATTAAATAAATCATCAGATTGTAAAAGACAGTGTTGACATAGCCATGGCTGATATGCTAATGATTTGATCATGGACGTTCACCGTCCCTTTCAATAACAGTAACTCATGCTCAAAAGTGTTGTTGCTTCCATAATTACTGGTTTTCAGCATAGGTAGGATAGGCTGGGTTTTTGTGGAGTTTTTTTGTTTGTTTGTTTGGTTTTTTTTTTTTTTTTTTTTTTTTTTTTTTTTTTTTTTTTTTTTTTTTTTTGGTTCCTGGATCGAACTCAGGACCTTGTGCTTACAAGGCAGGCAGTGGAACCACTGAGCGGAATCCCCAGCCCAGGCTGGAATTTTTCTGTATGACTTCAACTCTGTCCTCAAATAAATATATTGTTTGGTGGCACCTTCTGGTTATAAGCAAGAAAGTCCTTGCTGCAGGCTTTTTCTTGCTTAGATACAAAATGTGACCTGATATAGAATTGAAAGGAGGACGCTGGAATAAACAAGGGAGAAATCCTGTCCAGGTGAAGTGATACAATGTCAAATGCTGCCTACTCATCAAACACAATACAAATGTTAGGTCTTTTGAGGTAACGTTAGATGTCCCTGAGGATAGATTCTTATAGTGTGAAAATTTTTCTTCAGCATGACACTGAAAAACGATGAGAAGTACAGAAGACTTTAAAAGTATTGTGCCCTTATAAACAATAATACACATTAGAGATGTCTTGCTAGAAAATTGCTTGTCATTATAATAATTCCTTAGAGAAATGATAAATAGTAGAGTAGTATTACCTTAGAAACCAGGAATTTTGGGTTTGAGGATGGGAAATATTTTATTTTCACAGTTGCATGTAGGACGATGACCAAAACCATGGGAAATTCAGTTTAAAATTTACATATATCTTCCTACACATCCCCACCTTCCCGAGGGTCCTTGGTTGTATAGCTGCTGTTGAACCATTGCACAGCACCTTCTATAACATAAATTGTTGGTATCCTTTAAAGTGCATGTAAAGTAGGAAAAATATACTGGCCTTCTGTAATTTTTTTGGTTCATTACAAGAGAGAAAAATATTACCATCAATAATGTGATGCATCAACTCACATGGCCAGGATCAGTTGTATCTTGAATGTTTTCATGGCCCATTGTGCAGACCTCGCTCTATCTGATGCTCCTGTCAGCTCAGAGACAGAGATGTGAGTCCAGCTTCTTATTGTCAGCCACAATTACTTATAATTTTGCTATCAGTAAGTCATTTAAAATCAATCAGTGTGTTTTTAACAAATGAGGGAAAATATTCTAGGCAAAGTATTGAGGCTCCTAGAATGACATGATACGTGGTCATAGTCTTGCCTCTCCAAATTATGTCACATTTTGTTCTGTTATTATGTGGGGAAAATAGCAATTATCTAGAGAGAGCCTTTTAGACTTGTCTTAGAATAACTTCTATCACCCATTCCCTCCTTCTGTAGCACTAATAAACTTAATTATATTTAATTATGTAGTTACACCTGCTAGAGAAAAGAAATATAAATATAGCTAGCAGTGAGCATGCTTAGACATAAGGCAAATACAACCTAGAAACTGCCGTACAGATTATTACATGATGCGTGATACAGAAGAAAGTGATTTTACCCTTTTTACAGAGAGAGCTGCATGTGCATCTCATTAGTGTTGAGACAAATTGCTCTGTAGGAATGCCAAAATTAGTATATATGTACATTGATATAAAAGTCCACAAAAATACATGCCTGTTTCAGGAAAAGAAAAACTTCAGCATAAATGCATTCATACTTAGTTTATTGAGACACCATGAGATCAACATTAGTTATCTTTGGCCTCTACAAATACAAGAGGTGCTCAAAGTGGTGGCCATCAGCTTCCAGACATTTATCAGTAGGGTGAACTGCTGCTTGGGTGACCTTGGTCATCGAGATTGCTGGACATGAATGCTCAATTTCTTCTCTAACAGCCAGCAGTGTAGGGGGTTTTCTGCAATTTACAACATCCTCTAAGGTCCCCCATAACAGGGTAACACCATCTGTTTAAAAAATCATACTATTTTTCTTTTCCTGAAGTGTACGTGCATTTTTGGTGGACTCTGTATGTACATGTATATAATCACTACATATGCATATATGTATTTTATGTCTATGCATGTCAAAAACACATCCATGTCTGTTCGGAACTGCCATCGTGTGGTGTGTGCATGAGAACAAGAACTCGTTGCCTGAGGCACACTGAAGCCAGCACTGTGGGATTGGTTTATTGCAAACAGAAAAGGCTATATTACACTATCAACTGGCAAGGAGACCTGGAGCTAAAAAGTAGCTCGAATCTGCCTCTTCCAGTTGGCAGGGGGAGACTTTGTAGGGGAGAGAAGAAGAGAAGTTGCTTCATGACTGGTTGTGACATCATGTCAAATGTTCCTTTGGGGAGCTATGTTCTATGCAGTGACATTTCTTAGTGATCAAATGAACTGGTTTCTTTTGCTCACATCTGTTCTTGAAAAGTTGGTTCGAAATCATAAGAATTATTAGTGAAAGGCCCCAAATCTCCCAGAAGGCAATTAAGGAAAGGACTTTGTTATTTAAGGATTTCGGTCCAGACCTTTAGCCCACTTCACTTCCTTCCTCAATCCTGAAGGATGAGGACAATAATCACTCTACTTCCTGCTGAACCAGCTTATAGTTAGGGTCTAAGTTTTGAGTCAGAGAATGAGCCCATTGGGTAGAGTCATTAATAGAAGGTTAGTATTAGGCCAGGGATTTATCTCAGTGGTGCTACCACCTTCCTTGCAAGTGCAAGGTCCTGAGTTCTATTCCCGGTACCCTCCTCCGCAAAAAGGCTACTATTGTGTGTGGGCAATCAAAATAGATTAAGGATTATTTTTAAAGGAAACCAGATACTCAATACTAGAAAAAGAATCATTATAAACTGTTGGGAAGAGGACAGAAATGAAGCCTAGCATGAAGCCAACTGAGGACATCTGAAAATGGGAAGGGAGAGCACTCAAAGCATCAGGAGATAGGGCCCGTGTTATTAGCTTATGCTAGTTTTAACATTTTGGGTACTTCTAATTCTACCTGTTGAGAGGTGTCAGTATCTATGCACCAGCTAGTATTTATTTCAGCATAGACTCACCTTGTAAGACAATAAGAAATCTAGGGCAGTTCTATTTCTCAATGAAACACAAGCTAGAGATTCCACTCTGGCTCTGCAGGCCTGTTTATTTGGGAGACTATTACACCAAAGGCATTATTACTGCTGCTCATTTTTAATACTTGTTGGACTCTTGTGGTCAGTGTGGGTTATGACCTTTCAGAAATGATGCATGTAGCATGGAATCCTCCTTTAATTTTCTCCAAAAGGTAATTTAAGATCAATTAATGATTCACAAGAATATACAGAGTGACAGCTTCTTTCCGGTTTTTATGATCACCCAATCTGGGTGATCGCATTTAGCCAGGTTTTTGTTTTTCCTGAAGTGCCAAAAGTGGTACGTGTGTCACATATTTACTCTTTTGCCTTGCTAGCAAGTACTTGAAAGCAACCTAGTTGCCAAGAGTAAGTTTTTCAAGATAAAAATGAAGAGGATGCCATTAGGTACTCTGAAGAATAATCTTTGGCCTCAGGAATTAACAAAAGTGGTGTGGATCCATGGTTAAACAGACAGTTGCTGGAGAAATCTCTCTACAACAGGAGAGTGCAAGAAATTGTGGTGATCCCTATGAAAATTTGTAGTCTAGTAGTCTTTTGTGATAGTTATAATCAGGCAATCATGCATAAGAATCCTTTTTTCATAACTCCTGGCCTCCTTTACTTTTAGGTTGGATTAACACACGTGACTCCATCTTGATTCTGATAATTTTAACATTTCTTTTACATTTCTCCCTTTTGTTCTCTGAAAACATTATCAGTCAACCATACAGGTATTGTTCTTCCCTTCTTACATGAATGGATCTGCCCCAGGTGTTGGTTTGACTTGGTCCCATATAGGAGGGGAAGTGGTTAATGATTAGGAGTCAGTGTCATAACCTTTTTAGCATGTTTGGGCAACAAAGAGGTTTAGAAACAGTTCTCGGGATAATCTTACCTGGAGCCCATTGCTAAATTAAGTTCTTCTGAAGAGGATTCACAGCACTAGAGAAACACATTCAGGCAGCTGAGCCTTCCAGACTTAAGTCAAATCCATGTGATCACTGAGATCAGCATCCAAAGCCACACTGTGCCTAGTTCCACAGAGCCTCAGACTGGCCCTTCAAGGACTGATGTGCCATCTTGGTTCCCAGAAATTATTACAGAGTAAGTGATAACTCCCCAATACAGATGGCAGCAGAAAATTTACAGGAGGGGAAAGAGAAGTTGCTTCTTCATGGTATGGATTCCTTCTCACAGATCATACATTACTTTGTGGTTGGATAGGAGGGAGATATGTTGTGTGCGGGGAGATTTTAAGTCTGAGATATCATTAACTAGATAATCTGACTTCATCAGCTCATTTTTAAAAAGCTGGTTCCAAACTACAAGACTTGCTAATGAAAGTTTTGGTGGCTTTTCCTGGAAAACAATTTAAAAATTTTTGTTATTTAAGGAATTAGTCTCTGGGTGTCTAGGCCTTAGCTAATTTCACTTGCAATAGACTAAAACTCATCTTTGAAAGAAATTACTGGTTGACATTTTTTAAAACTATATATATTCTATATAGAATATATATTTATATAAATATAATATATATAGAATATATATGGTAACTCAAATCCTAAGATGTTGTTGCTTTTGAGAAGCACAATTTGGAGATGCACTGAAGTCCAAACACAAATTCTGGCACTGAAGGTCCAGCGTTGCCTTCTAGCCATCTCTATCATTAATAAGCTGAATCTATCTGGGATTAATTTCCCTCATCTATATATATAGGGCTCCCACACCTATTAACCTCACTTTGCAATTTTGTGATGTTAGGTTTACTATTGTCAGGATGTTACTTAGGCCGTAAGGTTACCTCTGAAAGTTCCCTGAACTTCAGGAAAACAGGTAAACAATAATTAGGCAATTGTGGCTTCTAAAAATCCAGGCCTGAATATTGCTGAAGACTATTAAGATACTCTGTCTTATTCATCCTTTTGTTTTTCACCTCAAAGGTTCATAATTTCACTTTTACACCTTCACCTCAAAGAAAGCCCAAATAAGAATAGGAATAAAGAATAATTCAATTACATGGATCTTTTCTTATTCATACCCAAGTGAATATCATAGCCATACCCAAGCACCTTTCGTTTTCTTAAAAAGCTTTTATTAGCTAATTGTCTGTATTTCTAAAATGGTTATGTATTCTGACGTTAGAGAAACTTTCTAGGAAATGGCACCTTTACCAAGAAGCATTGCTTTTTTCAACCACCATTGCTTTTCAAAGCAGTTCACTTTTTTTGTTGTTGTTGTTATTCTCTCAACTTCATTTTGTCAGCCAAAAAAGCAAGAAGAAGAAGAAGGCACAACAGATACAGCAACATCCTCCTCCAACAACCACGAGAAGGACAGCGGGGTGGGGCGCACAGATGAAAGCTTGCGAAATGAGGAGAGCTCAGAGCAGGAGAACGCAGCTGAAGACCCCAGCAGCACATCTCTGAAGAACAAGAGAGAACTGGCGCAGAGCCAGGACACCCTGGGGAGCGTGGAACTTCAGTGCAATGAAAGCTTCGTGTCTGGCGAATACCTTGACTCAGACTGCGTTGGCAACCACGACGAGGAGTGCGATCGATTCCGGCAGCTCTTAGAGCTCAAATGCAAAATCCGCAACCATGGAGGGTATGATCTGTATTACTCCAGCAGCACAATCGAATGCAACCAAGGGGAGGAAGCAGGAGTAGAGCATGAGCTACAGCTGCTAAATGAAGAGCTAAGAAACATTGAGCTGGAGTGCCAGAACATTATGCAAGCTCACAGGCTCCAGAAAGTAACAGACCAATATGGGGACATCTGGGCTTTGCATGATGGGGGATTCCAAAATTACACCACCAGCCTAGATGTGCAAAGAGGAAAACTAGATGACATTCTGGAACATCCGGAAAGGTCAGACAAAGACAGCTCTAGTGCTTACAACACAGCGGAAAGCTGCAGAAGTACTCCACTCACAGTGGACCGTTCCCCGGACAGTTCCCTTCCCAGAACGATCAACCTCACCAACAAGAAAAACTTGCGAAGCACCATGGCCGTCTGTCAGTCCTCTTCTGGACAGAGCAGCAAAGAGTCAACGTCCACCCAAGCCAAAGCTACCGAACAAGGCTGCAGCACGGAGAGCAAGGAGAAGCTCTTGGAAAGCAGCAAGCTTCCAAACCCTGAGAAGACAGGCAAGGAGCCCATCCCTTACCTCTCTCCTTACCACAGCTCCTCCTACCGGTGCGCCAACATCCCAGCCCACGCCAGGCATTATCAGAGCTACATGCAGTTAATCCAGCAGAAGTCAGCCGTGGAATACGCGCAGAGCCAGCTCAGTCTGGTGAGTGTGTGCAAGGACCCTCAGAAGGGGCCCGAGCCCAAGATGGAATGGAAGGTGAAAATCCGGAGCGACGGAACCCGCTACATCACCAAGAGACCCGTGAGAGACCGGATCCTGAAGGAACGTGCCTTAAAGATCAAGGAGGAGCGCAGCGGCATGACCACCGACGATGACACCATGAGCGAGATGAAGATGGGGCGCTACTGGAGCAGGGAGGAGCGCAAGCAGCACCTGGTGCGCGCCAAGGAGCAGCGCCGAAGGCGCGAGTTCATGCTGCGCAGCCGGCTGGAGTGCCTGAGGGAGGCGCCGCAGAGCGCTGGGGAGGCCCGGAAGGAGCCCAGCATCCTGGAGCTGAGCCACAAGAAGATGATGAGGAGGAGAAACAGGAAAATCCTCGACAACTGGATGACGATTCAGGAACTGATGACCCACGGGGCCAAGTCTCCGGACGGCACGAGGGTGCACAGCGCCTTCCTGTCGGTCACCACGGTATGACCCCGTGGACCCCAGCGACTGCCTTCGAGAGGGTGCTACCAGTTTGGGTAGAGTATGATCGCCTCGTTCAATGTGGCGTTTTTATATCTATTTTGTGACTCTTTATAGTTTAAATTTTTTGTAAGCAAAAATAACCTGGCAATTTTTCATTTGATTTTTCATATACTGGTACCTTCTTTTTTGGCTAAGGTCTTTCCTTAACTTGCGATATATTCCTATTACTCATTTATAAAAAACAAAATAAAACAAAAAATACTGAGGAGCTAATTAATTTCCTATTTTAAAGTAGGAACTGTAAGTTAAAATCTGGATTTATTTCTCTAGTTTACTTGTTTTCTACTTTAATAACAACTCAATGCCAAAACATTTCTACGCTTGCTTCCTGGCATAATACTTATTAAATCAAACCTGTTAATAAATCACATGCCACATCTTGTGTTTTACACACACACACACACACACACACACACACACACACACACACACACACACACAAACTTTTTAACATTCTGTTGTACATTTAACACATAAATGGCCATTGTCTTTGTCCCTGTAAAGTGTAGGTCAACAGTAGGCCTGTGATATTGGTCATGTAGCTAGATATCGTAATTGTGACAATAAAAAGATAAATTATTGATTATTCTTAAGAAAAGTTATCAAGGAATGTTTTATTTTCATTGTCCACTGTGCTTAACAGATATAAATTAGTTATATATGTATACTATTTAGAAGAGTCCTAATTGTAGATTATAAACTGCACATTTTCTATCACTTTTTTCAATGAAGTCTTGAAACACTTCCTATGGGTCATTGTGTCACACACACCTACCAGGATTACACTACATATATATATACACACACACACAAATATATATATCTACACACACATATATATACATACACACACACACACACACACATATATATATATATATGCTTCACAGATGCTAAACATTCAGAATGCTCCCCTTGCCTGCCACCCATGTAAGGTAAAGCCAAGAAAATTTTAGGAAAAGATGAAGAGAGGATTCATGAAGTGTCTGAGATTACTCATATTCATAGGGTGTATCTTGTCTGCTTGGGCTTCTCTAACTAAGGGCTGTAGACCGGGGCTGAGACATCAGGAATTTACTTCTCACAATTCTGGAGCCTGGAGATTTAAGATCAAATACATTGGAGGTCAGAACTTCAACACACAGCTTCTGAGAGGACACAATTCAGTACACTGCACTGAGTCTAGTTGATTTTCCAATAAAATCTAGAGAACCAGCTTTGCAAGGATGTGTAGCATAGGCAACTAAATGCCTTGTGTGTCAAAGTATTAAAAGCCCTCTCCTGTTGCTCATCATTTCCCCAGAGGGAAAGGCCACATGATCCACACACACAGAAACATGAGTTTCATCAAGGTTTCATTCAACCCAACAGGCTGTTGTGCCATAAATGGCTGCAGCAAGCTCTGAATGGTCCAGGAGACACTGTCCTGGATACGAGCCTCAGTCGTCTCCTATTAGCTCTTGAATCAGATTCTGATGCCTCAGCATTGAGTCAAAGCTATCGTCAAGACTTTGCTACCTTGGCAGCTGCCTTGTTAGACCTTCTCTGAACTATTCTTGGCCACTTAATATCTGCTCTTCCCCCTGCAGTTGTCATAAGTTATTCTCCTGGTGGAGTTTCTGACAAACCCTGTACCTCCCTTAGCGTGTGATCACACATACATTTTCATCTGTGATGTGTTTGTGTCAGTGTTTCTCGGCTCTTTGGAATATATGATTGTGCATATTGTTTTACCTGTATTCTTTTATTACTGAAGCACATAAAGAGAATTTATTGTCTCTCCGCATAAATTTTTAATTTCTGGAGAAAGGACCGTATGTCCCTCTGTCTTTGCAACCCCTTGGTAAAATGCCATTGGAATAATGATGAATATAAATTGGGCTAAATTACTTTACTCATATTTCTCTCCTACGTATTGGTCCATCTGTGATTATTTTCCTTACTCTTCTATCCTTCCAAATTTTTACCTTTTGAAGGGGAAACACATAGAGGAAAACAAACTAATCTTATTTATATATAATGAAAATCTGGACTCACATTTTAAAATAGTAATAGTAATAAACCGAAACAACTGAAAATCTCAACATCTCTAATCAGCCACTGTCCATTCAATGACTAAGACTACTTCAAGTGCACTCAGAGTTAACTTTTAATCTCACAGTTTTAAATAAAAATGCCTATCTACCTTAAGGGTCTGTTTCTTCCCACACCTAACACCTGTGGTTACTGTCTGAGCTCTGCACACACCTTGTACCAATGTGTAGATTTTCTGGAAGAAACAAGTCCACATCTCAAAAAACACAGCATTTCAAAAGCTATCAGTTTAACCTCATTTTTACTAAAGCCAAATATGCTTGCCAATATTTTTTAAATGTGATGGTGTTTTTCCTGTCTGCTTATGTACTTCTACAAGTTAAGAAATGTCTTTTTCAAAAATCAGTGAAAATTTGAAGTGCTATGCTTTATCTTTCTACATAACGTCATTTGTACTAAACATGTTTTTTACGTAAATGAATAATAAATCTGTTGCTCAGTAAAAAATTTTTGGTTATATATGGAATATTTTGTGACTGTCAATTTCCAGTGTTCTCCCATGATCCCTTGTACAAAACATAGCTATTCAACAGTTCCTTGGGTTTTTCTTCATAGAGGAGTTCCTGAGAGCTGAGTGGCACTCGATAGATATTTTGAAATCCAAAAGATACTCCCAGATCCCACTGAATAGTATCTGAAGAGCACACGGTCACATTTTTCTAGAGGCAAGATCTACTTTCTACTTTTGTTTTTCTCACAAGAAATGAATTGGTTAATAAATCTGTTACAGTGTTGACCTTTACTAATTGAAAATAGAAGTTATTTAATAATAATCACACATTTGTATAATTGGTAATAGAAATATGTTAACAGGAAATAAATTATAACATGTAATTCAATTTCAATTAAAATTGAAAGAATATTAGTTTAAAGAAGCATCTACCATCTACCCAAGGTTTGGGTTTCTCAAGTATGAATTGGAAGTCACTTACAAAGAGTTGTGAGACTGAGTGGAATGATACATTTAGGTAAAGCAATGAAGATCCTTTAATAGCCTCAGGAACTAAGTTTTTATCCCATATTCAATAAAAGACTGAAAAGCAAGTACAGTGAGCAGAAGTGATGTTTAGGAGAGCAGGTGTTGCCAGCTACTCACAGTACACAGAAAGGGGGCACCAGCAGACCAAGAACCGACCTGTTGGAGTAGCAAGGTGAGGCATGAGGTGAAACCATTCTAGCATCTGGGTGATAAGCATTGGTCACAAGCTGACACATTTAGAAAATAAATTAAGTGCTTTGTGAGAGGAATTCTGCTCAGCTCTGGCAGTGGCCTGGCCCATTCTCTCCCTGGAAGGCACTGTATCTAAAAAGGGGTAGCTTGTATTTTGTGTGACAGGTGAGCATCACAGATGGGGTGCTGGAACTCCTGTCATGGCCTCTTCACATGAAGAACCTGGCCTCATAGGACCGACTGATCAGAGCATAAGAGCTTCAGACCCCACATCACTAATGGTGCCTTCGGTACCAGATACCCTTACAAGCAACAGACCCAACATCAACATTGATGGGAAATCCCCTGGCCTCCTATGGGCCACCACTCCCACTGTAGGAGCAGCCACTTGGTGGGCACAGGTAGTATGCTGTCTACTCCCACACCTGCCTGAACTGCTAGAGTGTCTCCACTCGTGTGGCTGACAGTGGGTCTCTCTGACCCTGGCATGGCATATACTGTGTTCAAACAAAAGTGGTACACATGCCAGATCCATCAAATGGGCAAACCTCTCCTCTTGCATGAAAGTCAACCCAAAACAGATCACAGACTTTAATGGAAGATCTAAAACTCTGCAATTGCTAAAGGAAAACATAACGGAAACATTTCAAAACATTGGTACAGTGATTTTTCTGACTAAGATCACAAAAAGCACAAGAAACAAAAGCAAGCCTTGTAAAATTGGTTTGCGTCAAACAAGAGAGTCTGTAGAGCAAAGAAAGTAATCACCAGAGTAAAGAGACAACCTACAGGACATGAGAAGATCTTTGCCAGTTATTCATCTTACAAAAGTTAGTGTCCAGAATACTGAAGAAAAAAAAAACATTTAACAAATAACCCAAGCAATCCAACCTAAATTGGACAACTGATCTAATTAGGTATTTCTCAAAATAAGAAATACAAATGGCCTGAAATATATTAAAAAGTGCACAATGGCATGACCTCTAGGGAAACGCAAATCAAGACCACTGCAAGATACCATCTCAACCCAGTGAGAGTGCTTAGTGCCAAAAAAAAAAGTAAGAAATGGTTGCAAGAAACTGAAGAAAAAGGAACTCTTTTACACTGTTAGTGGAAAGCTAATTAGTCACTATGGAGAACACTAAGGAGGTTCTTCAAAAAACTAAAATTAGATCTACCATTTGATCTTTTCATAGTAGCCAAGATATAAAATCAGGCTAGGTTCCTATCAACACATGAGTAGAAAATATAGTAGATGATATCTATGATTGAGTATTGTTCATTCATAAAGAATGAACTCCTGTCCTTCATAGAAAAATGAATGGAACTAGAAGATATCACATTAAGAGAAATAAACCAGACACAGAAATACAAGTAAGTATGTTCTCTCCTGTGTGGAAAATGGAATAAAAAAGTAGAAGAGTGATCCCTAGAGACTAGGGAGAACAAAGTGGGAAGGACGGGGGATGGAAGGGTGGAGGTTGGGGATACACTCAATGTACACGTGCATGTACGGAAATACCACACTGAATCCCAGAAATATGTACCATGAATATGTTAATTTAAAAAGTTGAAAACCTTTTTACAGCAAATTATTTCCTCCTTATTGATGTCTATATCCTCTTCAGTTTTCTTTCATTATTTTCTGAACTGTCTCTCTTTAGAGGTAGTCCAAAGTCCTTTAATGAACCTTTAAAGAAGTAAACATTTCAAGATATTTGTTCCCATATATATGCATGATATAGTTTCAGAGCTTCTGTGAACAGTGACTGCAGTAACTAACAAAAATAACTGACCAAGAGGTCATCCTTTAAGA